GGGGGGGTTTGGTGGGAGAGGTGTGGTGCTGGGGTTGCTGGGGCGAAGGGCATGGCAAGAATTGCCAGCAAGTGTGGGCCGTTCCTGGCCTTCTTCTGCTCAGGCGGCATGTCCTCTTTGTGAATCAAACAGTATTATGCTGGTTGGCGTCCACAAACCCATGTGTGCAACACATCAAGATTTTTTTGCGACGTAATGGTCAAGCTTTTAATGTTCGACCGCACACTTTGCCGGCACCCACAGGTATGTGACCAAGGCCGGCACCGCGGAGGGCGAGGCCGGCGCGGGCGCGGGCGGCCCCCTGCAGCGGCTCAGCAGCGTCATCCGCGGCCGCAAGGCGGTGGCGGACCGAATCGAGGTGCGGCCCCCTGCCGCTTCGCGCCGAGCGCCGCCCGGTCCGGGTTTGCCTCTTGCCACCGCGCGGGCGCTGCGTGAGGGACCTTCGGACGCCGCCAGCGAGACGCAGCTGCTTGACAGGCGGCCCTGCGCGTGACTGCGTTGCGCGGTTTGCCAAACCATCTGCTCATCACCCGCGCGGAACACCAGGCCTCGACGCCCCTCTTTTGAGAAATCCAATCCACCGCACCATGTTTGCAACTCTGCCCGCCCCGGCGACAAACACAAGCAAAAAGTGCAGATTTTTTGTTGCTCACAGTTCCTCATCTCTCATTTGCAACACTTGGATCCGATCCAACACACCTCGCAGGTGGAGGGCGTGGACGAAGCGCTGCTGCAGCGCGCCGCCGCAGCGATGGACGGCTTCAGCGCGCGCGAAATTGCCAAGTTTGCGGCCAGCGTGCAGGCTGCCGTGTATGGCAGCGAGCGGCCGGTGCTGACGGCGGCGCTGTTCGACAAGGTGCTGCAGTACAAGCTCCACGAGCACGCGGCGCGGCGCGCGTTCGTGCTCGGGCACCACGGCACTGGCGACGCCGCGCCGGCGCCGGCCAAGTGAGGGCCGTCGGCGGCGGCGGCGCGCCTTCCGCCGGCAGAGTTTTGCAGCTGCCGCGGGTCCGGTCTGTTCCGGCCTAGCATACGGCGCGTGTCGATTGGGCTCCAACGTTGCAACCCAATTGTCGCTTTCTGTTTTTGGCGCGTGCGGTGCGTGCTGTCTGTGTGTGAAGTCAGGGAGCCCTGCAGCTATCTGTTTCCGTCTCCTGTTTTCATGCGCTTCCTCGTCTGCAGAGCAGAGCTGGCTATCTGAACATGAGAGTGGCCCGTTTTTGTTTCGCCATCCTCCGACAGGAGGCAGCGCCGCGTGCGCGTGCTCGTGCACGCGCCGTGTGTTGTGGGTTGGGGACCCAGACCGTATCAACGTAACGAACCAAACCAAAGGCATGCACGCTTTTTAAGGACTGTGTTTTCTAGGCTGGCATCAATATCACAAGCAATGATAAGGTGCTGGGTACATGTGGGGTTAAGCAGGCGGCATGCAGGCGCCATGCAGGCCGCGATGCAGCGTTGACGGGCATGTGTTCAGGTGCGTGGCAGCACCGGCAGCTCTGACGCACGGGCGCCTGCGGGCGGCACCGGCGTCGACGCGCGTGCTTGCAACAAAGTGCCCGCACCCATTGGTTCGCAAGAGGTCATGTGAAACGGAATGCCCAAAGCCAGGCAGCACCCGCTATCACGATGCGGCAACGCCGCCGCCGCCGCATTCACTACTGCTGCTGCTGCTGCTGCTGCTGCTGCTGCTGCTGCTGCCGCCGCCGCCGCTCGTCTCCGCGGCGTCCCCGTCCCCCGCCGCCCTGCCCGCCGCGTCCCTCGTGAGAACCTCGGCCCCGTCCTCGGTAATCAACAAGGTGTGCTCGAACTGCGCCGCCAACGACCCGTCCGAGGTTACGAGGGTCCAGCCGTCTTGCCAGCAGCGGTGGTGGCGGGAGCCGAGCGTCAGGATGGGCTCTATGGTGAAGGTCTGCCCGAGGCGCATCTCCCCGCCGCGGCTGTTCCTGTGTGGTTGGGGAGGGGGGGTCGGGCGGCGGTCGGGGTGTTACTGGGCGGTTGGGAGGGGCGCCAAACTAGAGATGTGCAAAGAGGGCTATCAAGAGGTGGTCGTGAGGGCGGTGTTGTGCGCGGCCGGCTGGGTAATCGTTACCGCCAACCCCTCCACCCCAGCAGCGAGCCCGCCGGCGCAAACGGCGCCGCCACTCAGGCGCATCGGGCGGCGTCGGCACGCGTGCATGCGTGCGTCGATGCCTGTCCACACGCTCATCCGCGCGTGCCTGTAGTGCAGCACAGGTGGGGCGGCGTGGAAGACGCGGCCGATGCCGTGGCCGAGAAGCTCCCTCACGACCGACAGGCGCGCCTTGTCAGCAATAGACTGCGATATGGTGCCGCGGCGGTGCGCAGGGCATGAGGGTGTTGGTGCAGAGGGGGTAGCGTTGGCGTTGGGGCCCTCTTGTACGTGGCAGTGGTCCGGGGTGAGTGGTGCGGGCGTGTGGGGTTGGCGATGGCTGGGGTGTGATTTGAGTGGGGGAGGACGCCTGGACAAAGGGGTGCTGGTCTGCGGCTAGCGGGTATGAGGGGTGCATCGCAGCGCAGCCGGCCCGGGCCCAGGGGCGCCGGCACGGTTGTGGTGGCGCATTGCCTGGCCTCTTCGTAGCATCGGCTAAACTGCAGCCCCTATCACCCGCGGGTTGTGGGCAGGGGTTGGCAGCAGCGGGCTGGCGCATCCAAGCCGGCAGCCGCGAGCCTTCAAACCCTGTGCGCCTGACGATTTGACCCCCAGACCCTGTGCTCTGACATCCACGGCCGCACACACTGTTGGCTGCACCGCCACGAGGCCCTCCATAAAATCCTGAATATCCCAAAACGCCGGAATCTCAATCCACCCTTCCCCCCTTCATCAATCCGTGCCCTAAAAAGAATCGGCATATTCAACGACAGCAAATTCCAAGCGTCTGATGCATTTGAGTGTCGTCATTACAGCCGGCAATGATTATCACCTGTATGGTGTCGCCGATCACCCAAAACGGCACCCCGGGCCCGCAGGCCGCGATGGCGGCGGCCAGGGCGGAGCGGGTCGTCTCCACCAGCTCCACCGTGTGGCGCGGCCGCGGCTCACCCTTTGGGGCGACGTGAGGTGCGTGTGTTTGCGTGCTGACGCTGAGTGTGTCTTCGCGCTTTCGGAGAGGGGTGCAGGACGGGGCCCCCCACGCCCCCTGCATTGATGCACGATAACTCCTTTTGAAAAGATAGCAAGGATCAAGGCGCAGCAAAAAAAATACAGGCAAGGGCTTCCACAGGCAAGGCCGGCCCTTCAGAGGCGTTCACCACGTAAAAGGTGGCGTTGGTGTCACCATGGTATCCGTCCAGGAAGGCGGTGACGTCCACATTCACAATGTCGCCCTCGCGCAGGGGCCTGTCGCATTGCATGCAGGTAGCGGGGGTTTTGCAAGTGGAGCAGCTCCTGTGCCGCTCTTGGGGCAAGCGGGGGCGCGGCAGGTTGGTTTGACCGGGGTTTGACCGGGTCCCCGTTGGCGCAGCGTATGGACATATGTCCCGCCGTTTTGTTTCATCTCTGGGATCAAGCAATCATGGTCACCCACGCAGTGAGTGGTCCGGCACGGCAAATGGTGTCACCCGAGTGACATCCTCACCAAATTCACCTGTCATCGGGCACGCCGTGGCAGATCACCTCGTTCACGCTGGTACAAAGGCTCTTGGGGAAGCCGCCGTACCGCAGCGGGCTCGGATAACCGCCGCGCGATATTATGTAATCGTGGACGGCCGCGTCGACCGCGTCGGTGGTGACGCCAGGTGACACCAGGCGGCCGGCGAGCAGCAGCGCCTCTGCGGCGAGGCGGGCGGCGGCGCGCATGCGGGCGGTGCCCTGGTTGGGGATGGGAGCGCGCAGCCGGTCAGCGGGGGTGCGTGCAGGGGGGAGAC